GCGCGCTACGTCCCGCGCAGCCCGCCGGGGGCAGGAGCGGGAGGAACAGGAGCAGGAGATCCCATCCTGGATCCGGGTCTCAGCCTGGGACCCGGCCAGTTGTCAGCCTCCTCGCCCGACGACGGCGGCCGCACTGACCGCTTTGCCTTCCAGCTGCCCTTTGCTGAGGGCGCGGGCGATGGGGCACGCCTCGACTTCGTGGTGCGCTATGAGACCCCCGAGGGCACTTTCTGGGCCAACAACCACGGCCGCAACTACACAGTCCTGCTCCGGATTGCCCCCGCTCCCACACCCACTGATGCCGAAGGGCTGCCCCAGCAGCAGCAGCTGCCGCAGCCTGGGGCCCACAGGCAGCTGAAGAGCTGCATGAAGCCGGTGAGGCGCAGGTAATGTCTGCCAGCGCCACCTCCGCCAGCGCAAGGCTGTGACTAGGATGGAGGACAAGTATCCCGGCCCAAAAACCCCTCAGGCCTGCTCTCCAGGGCAGTGAGGAGGGTGCATTCAGTCAGTGAAAAGGAATGGAGGCCAGACATGTGCTAGGCACTGTTTTAATTACTGGGATTTCATTCATTCATTGAGTTCCACTGTAAAGCCCTGAACAAGACAGACATCTTCCCTACCCTCAAGGATCAGACAGGTTCCTATGGAGACAATTCAAAAAGACAAGTAAGCAAGTAGATGAGATAAATAGGGATGCCATTAGTTGTTGAGAAGAAAGGAAAATAGAATAAAGGGAAGGATCGGGTGGGAATGGCTGCCTTAGACATGGTGTTTAGAGAGAGCCTCTGAGGAGGTGAGTCCTGGATGATGATGATGATGAGAAGTGATGCACAGATAAGGGGAGGAGAGTTTGTAGAAAAGGGAAGACTTCCGAGGAGGTGCTATTTATACTGAGTCCTGAATGATAAAATACAGTTATGTACATATATGGAATAAGGGTGTTATAGGTAGAGGAAACAGCAAGTGCAAAGGTCCTGAGGTGGGAGTGACCTTGGTGTGAATGATGGTCAGTGTGCTGGAGTGGAGAGAAATGTAATGACATGATAGTGTGGACCAAAGGGCTTGTTAGTGGGTGTTAGGGAATCTGATCCCCACCTAACAGCAGGAAACCAGAGTTCAAAGGTGAGGCAACAAGATGAGTAAGTGATGGCTTTTCCAATTCAGCCATGTCTGACCTTGAAGCCTGTGCACTCTATTTACTGTTATGTTCTAATCTGGTCTGAGGCCTTCTGCAGGTGAAGGGCTGAGCCCATTTTCTCTCAGGGGACCCGTTGCTCTTACAGAGGCAAATCTAGAGGGTACTGGACTTGGAGCTCATATCCCTTGTTTTTTTACCACACCACCTGTGAAATTCAGGGTCTGGGAGAAAAAATTATACCCCCAGAAGTCCTCACACAAGATTTTCCTAGGTCTCCTCTATCAAGCTGAGTTCTTTTAGAGCAGTAGCCAGTTGTCCTCCACCCCTTCCTTAATCTAGCCCGAGCTCTATAGGTTTTCCTGAAAATACATACATTTCCCTGCTCCTAGGAGGACTAGAAATAAAAACAGAGAAATGCTTTTTGGGCCTTGTACATGCTTGATCGGAATCTGCTGGCTGCAGCAAGATGTTTGTGGCACTGCTATCCTGTTAAGGCCTTAGGCTGTGAGTGGTTTAGAAAGGTCTAGTTCTGGATTGGTGGGCAGATAGGCCAGGGTCAGTGAGCAAGCAGGCAAGCACCACTTACTGATCTGTGAACTCCATCGTCACTTGCTGTTCTGTCTAAGGGGGGCAGTCAGCATGGTTTTCCTTACAGCGTTGTGAGTGTGGATTCGGGCAGCAGATTGCCTGGGTTCAAATCCCAGCCCTGGTAGTTACTGGCTTTGTGACCTTGGTCAATTCATTTAACCACACTGTGCCTTGGGACTGCCCTCTGAAGACATAATCATAGCATTTACTTCATAGTATTTAAGTAAAAGCACTCAGAACTGAGCCCAGCTCAAAGAGTTGTTAAATCGATTTTAGCTATTACTACTATTTAGGGAGTCATACCTACAGTTCCTTGGCTTCTCCTAAACTTGGCTTTGTCCATCATCAGCTGTGTGGTCTTACCTCAGTTTTCTCATCTGCTAAAGGGCAATGACAGTCACTTTGTTTGGACTGGATGCAGCAAACATGGGCAAGAAAAGGGAGATACAGCTGTGAAAGACAATAGTGGCCAACATTTACTGATGTCTGTGCTAAGAGCAGTGGGCCCATTCTCTCCTTGGGGCCTGCTGTGCATGCTATGTGAGCTACAATTGGAAACAGCTCACAGGTGAGCCAGCTTGTTGACAGTCACTCAGCTAGTGAGAGGGCCAGGGAGGAAATGCCAAGGGCCTATTTATTTATTTAAACTATTGATCCTCTTGAAGGCCTGGTAGGATTCAGGGAAAATTCTGGATACCCCTTTTGGTGTTTCCTGCATATTATGCTTTTACCTTGCTTTTTTGTTCGTTTGTTTTGCTTTTTGCTTTATCAAGGAATACCTACAGAAGTGTACTGATCTTAAGTGTATGGCTCAATGGATTTGTTTATATGTATCCCCTTGTGCAGCCATCACCCAGATCAAGATCTCCAGAAGTCCTAGTGCCCCAGAACTGCCTGCCTTTCTCTCACTTTTCCCAAGTTTTTATCCCAGTCGCCTCTTGGCTCTAGTGAGAGCCTTGTCTGTAAGATGCAACAGCTTGTGTAACAGAGTTTGGTCATTTGAA